AGAGAGAGAGAGAGAGAGAGAGAGAGAGAGAGAGAGAGAGAGAGAGAGAGAGAGAGAGAGAACTTTCAAAAAGTCCAACAAAAAGCACATTAGCAACATAGTGTGATGAACACGCAGATGTTCTTTGAATGAAAAACACACACAAAAAGGAAAAATGAGAGGAGCAACACACGTTACAAACGATAGTCAGAAAGTGAAGGTGCAGGCCTTGCATCTCATGTATACGCACGCAATAGAAAGAACTGGGGCTCCCTCTACCACAGCAGATGCCAGAAACAACAATTCAAAAAAGGGTGAAAAAAGCATACTGAAAACACAATCTTATGGATCTCTCTTGGGTGGAAAACACTCACAAAAGAAGGGAATAAGAGAGGAGTGACACAGTTAAACACACATTGCAAAAGATAGGGCCTCGCTCCACTACTCTCGATTCATCTAAAAAATGGAGAGTCGCCAGACTCTCCATTTTGGTGAAATGGAGTCTCGCTCCACAGAACTCTCCTTTCAGCACATAATGACAAGAAAAAGGAAAACAAGACAAGGGAGAACATTGACAGCTGGGCCCCAATGCGCCGCCCACCCTCGAAAATTGAGGCTGGAGGCCCAATTTTCAACAGTGTGAAGGCTAAGACTCCTCTACGAGGAATCTTTCCAACATCTCTCAATCGGTTATCGAGAGTGTTCAATCGCAAGTCAAGTGAAGTGAAGCACCACTCCTGAGATACGCAAAATAGACTGGCAATGTATTCTTTCAAAAAAGGAAAAAAAGAAAAAAGGAAATAAAAGACTGGTGGAGCGACACCCATGGTCAGAACTTGAAAGTGCAATGCACTCAATTAAAGCTATGTGTAATGACCTGCGAAACACGGACTGAAACACAGCTGATTTCTGAGTTTTGCTCATGGAATGTCTGCCTTACTGAGTTTCCCGCTTGCTGGTGAGTTTTCTAAGTCTGTGTGGGTGCGTGCTTGCTGGTCTGCATGCCTGTCTGAGTGCTTGTCGGCTTGAGCGTGTGTGTGACCCGCAAGGGCACTTGGTTGTTCGGAAGGCCCGAAGGGCCGGTACTTACCTGTGGCCATGACATTGAGGGCTGCAGCGGGGGAAGAGGCCCGCGACACTCAAGAGCAGCGGAAAACACTCAAGTAGAAGGTAGGCCGGTACCACACCAAGTAGAGGTAGATGTGCCAGGTACTCGAGGCCAAGCAGAAGAAGACAAAAGTTGGCATTTTTAGAGGCCCAGTAGTTGTAGGCTAGGTCTAGGCGGGTACCAGTCCAACCAGTCTGAGTCTCGGCCTGTACGGACAATATCAGAGTGTGCAATATGTTTCCTCCGAAAGGGAGGAGGTACTGGTTGCTTGGAGGCCGCGCGGCCTAGGAAGTCACTCGCCAAGAGGCAAGGAGGCCACTATATCTCCAGGAGGAGCCAGTTGCTCCTCATTGTCGGTGTGCAAGTTTGTCGACACACTGGCTGGAGTGCAGGCTGGAGCAGTGCTAGCTTGTAGCGCTGCTGGGGAAGAAGCAAGGACACGAGGAGAAGGAAGGCAAGGACCGGAAGGGGAGGAGCGCTAGAGGTACTTACCTGGCTATGGTGGTTGCCTTCTTCATCACCTTGATGGGCGCTGCAGCAAGAAGGCCCCAGCAGGTGGTAGAGCTACACCAAGAAGCTTTGAGGCAAGAGTCAGGCATGGCGGCCTGAGCTAGAGCAGCCATAGCTGCTTGAGTTGTCTTCTGCACATCAGGGCAAGGCCCTAGCAGTCCGCCATAGCCTGGGCCTTCAAGAAGAGGAAGGAGAAGGGTGGCGATGGCTATGGTGGACCTCATGTGATACCTGCAGTAGAAGAGGGATTCGGACATTGATTCTGGTTCAACCATTCAACATTATTATTATTATTTCTTGTATGAATATGAGAGGAGGAGATAAGGAGGAGGAGAGTGGTTGGCGAAGAAGAAGAGCATTATCATTGGTCTATGCTGGTGTACATCATCTTCTTCTTCTTTCTTACATCTTCTTCTTCTTTCTTTCTTTCTTTCTTTCTTCTTCTTCTTCTTTCCCTCTCTCTCCTCTCAAGTTCATTCATTTCTTTTTGCAATTGGACGGCATTGTACTTTCTGATGAATGCGTACTTCGAAATTGGCCAGGATCACAAAATATGGTTCCTTCCACATAATATGAGCCACATAAAACAATGCTTTGTGGTATGCAACACATTACAGCCATTTCTACCACACTGCAAAAAGCCCGAGGTCTTGTCATACCTAGTCCTGAAAATGTAGACGTGCTTGTGGGGCGTGGTTTCTTTCCACCGTCGCTGCTTGGAGTTCCCATCTCAGACACAGACTTCGTTGCGAGCTTCATTGTGTCATTTACAGGTGGTGCGGTCTTTGTGTCTCTTGACTTTGACTTCCGGCAGATTACCAGTATCACAACAGCCATCAGGATGGCAATTCCGCCGACCCCAACGCCAACACCAAGAGGCCATTGAAACGTTCTGTCTTTCTTGGCAGTTGTCGATGTATTATTTATAACTGTGGACGAATAGACAGCTGCAACCAACAGGAAAATAAACAGAGAAAACAAATCATAGTTAAATGAACTGAAAAGGCATACTTGCTTGGAAAGACACAGGCCACCAGGGTCCAATAAAGTTTGCCAGTTTTCGCTATCTACTGTGTTCTCTCTCTCTCTCTCTCTCTCTCTCTCTCTCTCTCTCTCTCTCTCTCTCTCTCTCTCTCTCTCTCTCTCTCTCTCTCTCTCTCTTGCTGCTTAAATTGTTTCTCTAAAAAAATCCACATCAGAAAAGTTTGTGCTATGATCCTGCTCAATTCACAATGCAAGACTGAACTTTGAGACAATCTCCAACTCAAGGAGTGGAATTAGAATCGATAGGAGAGAGAAGAATGACGAAAAGAAGAAGAAGAAGGAGAACACAAGCTTGAACCAATGTCATCTCCCTCCTCCCCTCGCCATCATCATCTCCCACACATAATTGCCTCCTCCTCTTATTAGAAATTAAATACAATAGTAAATGAATGAATGAATGGCATGGTAACCGTCCGGAAGTCTGGACCGGGTTCCAGACAGTCCGGTGTCCGGTGTCTGGTCCTGATGTCCGGATGGAGGCCCCTAGGGAGAAAAAGAAAAAAAAAAGGCGGCGGCCCAGGACGTTTATCAGGTCCTGGCCGCCCCTCGAAAAATAACAAGGTGATTTTTCAGTGTCATTTCACCCCACCGGACAGGGCCTAGAGGTCCGGACACAAGACACTGCAGGTTTCTGGGGTGGCGGGTTTCACACAGGCCCGAGCAATTTCAAGGCGCCCGCCGCTGCTGCCC